AAAAAAAAAAAAAAAAAAAAAAAAAAAAAAAAAAAAAAAAAAACACTGAGAAGTGGCCCGAACATTGTAATTTTAGTTTATTCGAATTTTTTGAAACGTTTGATTTAAGTTGGTAATTTGTGTGTTGTTGCTGTTGTTGCATACATTTATTTACAGGTCCTTTAACAAAGCTGGGTCAGTGCTCGATGATGCAATTGGACGCATTTATGCTAAAAAGAATTATGTTTCATGTAAACCCTATGTAAATGATTCCTTCGCATGATATGCCCAATTCTTACCGTTGATTCTTTACTGTTGACTCGAGAATTTTATGCTGAAATAGCAGATTTCAGTTCTTTAATAGAGTATCAATTTGCTGCTCACCTATCCAAGTCGCCTGATTTTTGTTGATGTGAATAGTGCTGTCTTCTTCAAGCAGTTGCGGTAACATCCCTGCAGATTGGCCGATTAGTGCACCCAGACATATGTAAAGGGGGAACATAGAGGCTGCCACGAGAAACTACGTAAATTTGGGGGGAGAGATTAAATAAAATTGAAAAATGCATTGCTGAAAAATGTATCAGAGAAACATCTAAGGGCTTCAAAGCAAAGAAAGTCACTTGTTTGATAAAGAAAATGCCAAACTCTAGTGTTTAGAACAGAGATTAAATTTTTATTCTCTTCTCTTGGGCATGCTCACCAGTAATCTGTGTGAAATAAGCACTAATTGTCAGTATTGGATCATTTCGTTGAAGTCCAAATAACTAAAATTATATGTAGTTCTCGTATAGTATACATAAAATAAAATTGCAATCATTTTTGAGTTTAGGATAAATTTTACTACATTTTGCAATTAGAAATTATAATTTCTGGATCATCCGTAAAACACACATGTTTATGCGGAAACTAATGGTGTTTATGTTGTTTTTGAACTGAGCCAGACATTTTAGTTCCTAATTGAAAAATGCAGTCAAATTGTCAATTGAAATTTTGTTAGATATCCAAATACAAATATGCCCCTCTGACTCTCATCCCTCCAATATCGACATGTCATAATTGACATCGTGTCTTCAACAGTCTCACCTTGCAATAATCAATTGACATTCAAGTTTGATGCTGAGAACTCACCGATCTTAAGAAACTCGCTTTCGGAGGAGCCGTCCACTCCTCCGCCATGGCGCCGATGCAAAATTAGGGTGGTCCCATGAACGAATTTTTATATCTATCAAATTATATTTATCACTGTCTCCAACACTAAAAATTCAGCAGCACGGAAGGGTTTATCATCTTGATTTCACGTTCCAGAGTCCAATTTCGGTCACTCTCCTTTCACAAGGGCACTGATCAATGAGCACTATGATAAACAAGGGATGAAAGGATGTAAGCACAAATATAATGTTTATTTTCAATGGATCAGACTAGAGAACAATCGTCAGACGAATAGGTAGGTATCTACGGAAGGATAAGAGAACTCGTATTTCAAACAGCAAATCAATACACTAAATTGAAAAGCCTCCATGAAATGATACTTGACTTTAGAACACTGTAGTCATTCTCAAGATTACATCATCTTACATCACGTAACAATGAAAAACGAAGAAATTGCGGTCAGGCATTCTGTATGATCGGATTTTTTTATGGATTTTACGATCACGTATGTGCAACCGATCCTTACTTTGTATCTTTCAATTAAAGATTCGTATTTATTTACTATTTAATTTCAAAAATTCTATTTTTATGAATTACGTCAAACTAAAAATCTCTCCAACAACAATGAATCCGTGTTTTAAAATCGGGGTCTACCAGTTGAAGCCTACAGTTTTTTTTTTTTTTTTTTTTTT